ATTCAACACTTAAAAGAAAATATAAGACTTGCATTCAGAAAAGAAACTTGTTTGAATACAAAAAGGCACTTCAGCCTGGCATAAGAGATTACTTGCTCATCTATAAAGACAAAAGGGGCACATCAGCCAAATATAAGGCTAACATTTTTCAAACAAAAGATTACAGCTATCCAAAAGTAAGAAGGAAAAGTACAAAAAAGAGGAAAAACCAAAGTTCATGCATTTTCCACAGTCCGCCCTGCCTTGGCAATTGGCGTTGTGTCAGCCTCGGTAGGACAGTTGGGCAGATTTTTCAGCTTGGACCTCGACGTCGATCTCACGTAATGTGTCATCTAGGCTTTTGTTGGCAGTCTCGACCTTGGCCTCAGAAGTGGTCTTTTGAACCTCACCCTCTTCATCTTGAGTCAAGTTAAAGACTTGCTCATTTAGAGTTGGGGACTTGGCCCCAGCAGCAGTTTTAGATTCTTTCTTGGCAACCTCAACCTCGGCCTTTTTTTTATCTCCGGCCTCCTCGTCGTCAGCCTCTTCTACTTCCTCGACCTCATCCTCAGATTGATTGGGAGAGGGAGGGAAAGGGATATTGAGCTAACCTATATCACGGAGGGGTGAGTCCTTAGGGACAGACATCTTTTTTAGGGTTGTCATTCAGTCAAGATAGTAGCCTTTATTGCAGGCCATGTTAACTTGTTTTTTCAGCCTTAGTAATGGCCTCGGCTTTGGTAACAGTAACTTGGTCCACTTGCTTCACGCGCTTCTCTTTCGAGATATTGAGTTGCTGGAGGCATGAGCATGTTGGATTGACTAAAAGGAGATGGAGTGGATTGCACGGTTATGACATCAAGAATGTCAACAAGAAGGTCTTTTACGACAAGAGTTCGGCAAGACATGTCGTCATTGGTTACGGTAATGGTTACTCACAGATAAGGCGATTGGAAAATTATCAAGGTCTAAGGCTAGGAGCTTAGGACCTCAGTGTTTCTTGTTCTTGGTTTTAGCTGCAAGATTGTCGCTATGTCGGTGTTTTCACTAGCATTGAGATAGTGGGTTAATGTGTGGAACAACTGATGAATTGCTTGGCTATTAGTCTGGTTCAGCTGGTAGAGTTTGAACCTTGGGCACAAAGGGAGTCTTCATAGTAATGAATACTTTAAGAACAGCGATGATGGTTTGCAGAGGCCAAGAGAAAGAGAGGCTAGGGACACAGATAGAGATGAAATATGAAGATGAAATGGTTTTGCTGGAATTAGAAAAATATGGCAAAAAGTTATGATTTCGAGTCCTGACGTGCCCGTGCTGACGTCAGATGGCGGGGGACAGAACTGATGCGACATGATGGGGACGTGATTGGTACGCTCCAATCTCATAGTGATCTTGGTTGACATGATGACCTCAGTTGAGATATTGATCTCGATAGAGATGACGATCTCGGTTGAGATGGTGATCTTAGTTAACATGATGATTTTAGTTGAGATGTTGATCTTGGTTAAGATGTTAAATTTGAATAGGGACATAATTTGTTTATTCTTGGTTTCTAATGAGTTGATACTAGTATCTTGATGTTCTTAAACTAGCAAGTCATGATCTCTACTAGCAGTGCGATCTCTGTCGAGATGTTGGACCTAGATGAAATGGAACATGATGGTTCATGGTTCATGGTTCTTGATTCTTGACAAATGGACATTTGAGTCCTTGTTTCTTGGTGCCAACGAGTCACGATCTCAGTTGGGGAAGTACATGTATAGGTTCCATCACCTCAGTTTGCCAAGGTAATAGAACCTAAGGGGCAGTTGTAGGGACATATTTTCAGGTAGTCCACGTGGTTGAGGTGCCACGTGGGCAGACCATGGTGCCGAGATATGATGCGATAATTCCGGAATTCGAGACATTTGGATAGAGGACTAGAGTCTTAGATGACATCAAGCTACCTATTTGGATAGAGATAGGACTCTTGAGGGAGTTCATCTTAATCTAAATAGTGTGAGTTGTGATAAATGTTATCCTTGTAAAGGATAAAGTCCTATGAAGTAAGACTTCTAAGGGAAGTTGGACACTGATCATTATAAAAGTAAGGCACCCTTGTGGGTCTAAGGTATACTTTATTTGAGATGCTTTTATGCTTTCATTGTTGAAGTTTAAGTACTTGTATTGATATCTGTGAGAGATAAGATTACTGACTTGATCGTCGGAGTGTCCCCGGGTGGACGAACCACCGCGGTATTCTCATCTTCTTGTTAGCAAGTGTTCAGGCTTAATCTATTCTGCCAGTGCTCTCCAACTGAGTTTCCCGTTTGGTTGTGTGGTTGGAAATCAACACCCCACAATAATAATCTCCAAAATATGTAAATTATTATACTTTCATATCTAAATTTTTTGAATTTTTTATTTCCTCTAAAAATATGCAATTTTACTCTTTAGTTTGTCTGGCTAGTATTGTTCAAAATCATTAACGGTGAAAGGAATATTTTTGGAATTTTACAGAGAAATGCAACAAATTAAAAAATTGGAAACTAAAATATAACAAAATGCATATTTTGGGGACTATGTGTGTATATGCTTTTTTTTTTTGCTTTTGTTGAGGTTTTTATAATTTTGAAAATAACCTTCTTTCTATTACTCCATCCGTACTAAAATATTAAGGGTTGTTTGGGATGTCCTAAATAAGTGCACTTTTTGACTTTTTATGAAATATGGGTTGGGTTTAGGAATGACAACGGGGCGGGGATCACCCTTCCCGTCCCCGATCCTCGATGGCGAAAATGTCCCCAGCCCCGGCCCCGGCCCCGATCCTCGACGGGGAACCTATGACTGTCCCCATCCCCACCCCAAACGAGGATCGGGTTTCCCCGACCCTGAAACTCCCTCGATCCAAATTTGTTTCAACATTAAACACCATCAACAAAAACTTTCAACATAATCAACAACATCATCAAAAAATCATACAAAAAACACACACAGATACATTATACATACATACACACAGAGAGTAATTTTATTACTCCACCTGCACAAATTCCAAACTTTTGTGGAGTAATAATTACATCAATTTGGCACAAGAGTAATTTTATTTGGTGGAGTAATTTACATGTATACAGAGACACACACATACATTATACATACACACAAACATGCATACATACATGTATACACAGAGAGAGAGAGAGGACGACGGCGGAGATCGGTGGAGATAGGCTGATCGGTAGCGACGACGGAGGAGATCAACACAGATCTGAGATCTCTGTGTGACAACGACGACGGTGACTCGACGGATAGGAAGAGAGAGGGTAGCGACGGAGGTGGAAGGGACAGCGGAGTCGACAGAGGTGAAGCGGCGGTGCGAGGTGGACAACGATACCGGCTTTGCGAACAGTGGCAGTTGTGCTGCAGAGACGCGGCTGTGCTGCGGAGACGGAGATGAGAGGTTTGCAGAGACAAAGAAGAGAGGTTTGTGGAGACGGAGAGAGAGTAGAGGGTACAGAGAGAGAGAGATAGAGCAGAACAATACTTTTTGTTTGGGAGAAATGTACATAACCTTGTAACCCAAGGGTATATATACTTCGGGGGGCTAGCGGGGACGGGTTTGGGATCAGGGATGGGCCGGGGCCGGAGGTGAAAAACATATCACCATCCCCGGCCCGAAAATCATCGGGGATTTATTTTTGAGTACCATCATCGGCCCGTTGGGGATATTTTTCGGGGAAAAACCGCTCTAATCGGGGTCGGGGAGTCGGGTCTCCATCGGGCCGGTTTTAAATTGCCATCTCTAGTTGGGTTTGCGTTGTGTTTGAAGTGATGTGTTAGAAATGTGAAGTGACTTAAATAAGATGATGTGACTTAAATAGGATAGTGACTTTTTGACTTTTTTTAAACATGCCAAACTAGGCCTTAGTCTCTTATTTCATTTTTCATTATCTCAAAATATTAGTCAATTTTCAAAAATCAAGAACTAAAATAATATGAATTTCATATTTTACCATTTTTTTAACTTCATTAACAACACAAAAAAAAACAATTATAACAATTGATATTTCCAAAAAAAATGTACTATCAAAGAGTAATTTTGAAAAATTAATATTTTAAAGTGCAATAATTATACTACCAAAAAAATTTAGATTCCCCAAAAGGGACTATTATTTTAGAACGGAGGGAGTATTAATTTTGAACAACATACTAGAGACTAAGACCCGGTTTGGCTATTATTTTGGGGCTAAAAAAATATAAAATGTCAAAATGGGCTAAATAAACTAATAAGACAACATATTACATCCAATCCATAATCATTATATTTTTTCTCTCACAAAAGTCAAAAAATCCAAACCAAACGTATCTAAAAAAGTCCCAACACAAAAAAGTTGATTATATTAGCATGCCAAACGATGCTTATAGTGTAACAGATTAAATAATTTGATATTCAAAATTTAAAAAAAAAATTAAAATATTAAAAACTGAAGTGTGACACATCACATGCTTTGAGAACCACATGTATATTTTGTCTTTTAAACTTTGTAGAAATTTCAAATAAATTCAGAAAATACCCCCCATTATTGTAACAAATCATAATTTAACAACCAAATTAAATAATAATAAAAAAGAAAGGAAAATTACAAATTGAAACAAAATAAATTCGAGTTTTTAATTTTATCAATTTAAAGTATAATCTCTTGATTTATTTTTAATTTAGATCATCTAACTATTTTCGTTTAGCAAAATTAATGGAAAAAAATGATATTTTTGTAATGACTAGGATATCCTTTTCCTATCAATTTTATTTAACGGAAATAGATGGATGGTTTAGAATGAAAATAAATCAAAAATTAGGGTTTAAAAAGACAAAATTAAAAATTCAAGATTTATTTTTGTTACAATAGTCAAATTTTAGAGTTTTTTATATTGTAATTTTCTGAAAAAAATTTAAAACTAAATTATAACACATCGCATACTTAAGAATTATCGATCTAATTAATTTTTTAATTTTTAATTTTTTATGTGGGGTTTTGCTACAGGTGGCAGCCATTGCAGCCATGTGTGTGCAACCAGAAGCAGATTATAGGCCTCTAATGTCAGATGTGGTGCAGTCCTTAATCCCTCTTGTTAAGAACCTCTCTTCTGTATCACTATGCCCCTCTTCTACTTAGTTCCTTAAGATTTAGTCAGAGAGTTACTCCCAAGTATTAGTCTAAGTGTGTTTGGGACTCTGACCATTTGAGTCCAAAAATGTATATAAAAACTCTGTGAAATCAGCTTGGCCCATTCTGGGACCACTCACAATGAGACATTTTGAGAGTAACCCACCCACCAAAAATACCTTAGGCCTAGGTCACAATCAGCTTTCCCAATTTTGTTTTTGTCTCACAAGAGCCACGTAACTCGTTTGTATGAATCTTTTCGTACTAGTGGCAACCATCTCTCTCTCTCTCTCTCTCTCTCTCTCTCTCTCTCTCTCTCTCTCAATGTTGTTGTTGTCTCACAAGAGCCATGTAACTCATTTGTATGAATCTTTTGGCACTAGTGACAACCATCTCTCGCTATTTGAAAAAAAGACAATTAATTTGATATTTTTGATATTATTATTATATTAATCTCTTTTGAAGTTGTAATTCATATAACAACATGATTTTTTTTGTTAATAATTTATTAGTCATATGAATAAAAAAATAATGTTATTATCTCTTTGATAGTAGGATGTATGTCTACATTTGTTTATTTCAGTATTTACCTACTATTTGTATCAGTTTAGGTCATTTTAGCCTTTTAAAAAGTGAAGTCAATGTAATAATGTCAAAAATATAGGGTTAATTATATTTTCATCAAATCTTAGAGCAGGTGAGTGTAATTTATTGTAAAAAAGAATGGTGTATTACACATCATATTATTGTACTAGTGTATGCCCATGCCTAAAGGCACGATGAAAATAATGTTGGATTAATCTTCTTCTGTCCAATCTTTTATGTAGTACGTGAAAAATTTATTCACAAAATAATTTCAGAGAAAAATTGTTCTTTTCTTATGCCATCACTGTTATACTTACCTAAGCTATCAATCTTTCTTGTTCTAATTGAGGAGAGTTGGTCTCATTTGAACTTCGGCTAAAAATTTAAAAAGAATATAATTTCAGTGATTGCAATATTAACAAACCATCTCTCATGTCAACTATTGATAGGTAATGTTTAAAAAGAAAAGACATGGAAAGGAAAATCGTGCATTGCTACTCACTCCCATTCTGCAAAATTAAAATGTATCAAAGCCCAAAATGTAGCATGAAAAATGTATCAATTAGTTAAATAAAATGTATGATTAGCAACATGAACATATTACACTTAAGTTTCAGTAGTATTAGTTAGTTACAACACTCATTTCACTTTACTAAGCTCAAGTCTCAGACTCTTCATATTACACTTCTCTCTTGCTAATTACTAAGGAAGAGAAAAATAGAAAGTAAAAACCAACAAAAAAAAAAAGAAAAGAAGAAGAAACTACACCTTAATCAACAAAACCACCTCTTTGGGCAATCAGCTAACCCTCCAATCAAGCATATATGTCTATGGATTACACCAATTTGAAAACATCAAGCACTATCTATAATAGTTGCAAAAGCAAAAATCATCAAGCACTAATTGAAAGTTCCAAACACATTATTAGATTTTAGCTCTTAAACACATTATCAAGTACTAATATTTATAAATGCCTCCCTCCATCATCAAGCACTAACGATTCAGCAAATATATTTAATTTCTAAAATTGAGAATGTCAATCTTTTAGAGACATGGAATTCAGCACATAGGTTTTTTTTTTTTTTATCAGCAATTCAGCACATAGGTAGATAACTTTTCAAGATGCAATTTGCCTCACACCATTTTATTCATTTATCTGCACTTTTTGCCTCCCTCTATCTCTACTCTCCCTCATCCCCACACTCACACACCCTCTATGTTTTTTAATCTATATAGCAAATATTTGATGCACCCAAACACGTGGGATTTACACAAGAAACTACTATATATAAAAAAATGTTTCAGAGACACATCCATATAGAGGGAAAAAGAGAGATTTACTGACCAAGAAAAATGCTCTTTCTTTGATAACCTTCATGGATATCTTTGGCACCGCAATGCAAGGAGCATCATTTCAAAAATCTTCAAACCACAATCTCAAAAGAAAGATTTCATAAACTCACAACTGAGATCCAATTGAGAGCATTCAACCTATTTAGAAGTAGTGCAAACAAAAAATAAAAAAACTGCTAATTTTTTTGGTGTTTCCCAAAAACAATAAATAATAATAAAAATAATTAGTAAAGAGAACATTATCCAAAAAATAGATAAATTCATAAATTCAACCTAGTCAAGCAAAGGAAAACTTTTTCCTTACCCCAGTTCAAAAGTTTAGCAAAGGGGAACTTTTTCCTCAACCAAAAGTTTGATCATTCGATTAATCTCTCTCTCACCTTCCATTCCATGTGAATTAATAAACGCATCAAATAGAGAAATAATTTATCAAGCATTTGGTGAACATTGTAGTAGCAGAAATTATATAGTGGTAAAACTAATTATTTTGAACTTCAATTATTGCAAACCATACTGAAATCCTTAGAATGGAATGAATAACAATAAATTTAATTAAAATAACAGGAAATAGGTTGTAATTTATTCCAAGTGACATGAGGAAGTTGGTCTTTGAACTATGGAAATCGAGTAAAAGATTAAATCATCAACTTACAACATCATGAATGTACAAAAAATAAAAAATAGAAGCAAAAAAAGGGATGGAATCTTGATTACCTCTATTGATGGAGCCTTTAGAACTATTCTCCTCACCAAATTCTGATGCCTCCGTCACATAAGCAATAGTAGGAAATTTCAAAATAGGAATAAATAGATAATCCAATGAATGTTCAAATTACCTCAAGCAACAGTAGAAATTTTCAAAACAAACTGAGGGTTAAAATAGGAAAAAAAAGACAAGCCACCAACACCAAAGCTATTCTTATATATATATATATTCTTATGTATACACCAAAGCTAGTGTATACCCGTGCCTAAAGGCACGATGAAAATAATGTTAGATTAATCTTCTTTTATCCAATCTTTTATGAAGTACATGAAAAAAAATTTCACAAAATAATTTCAGAGAAAAATTATTCTTTTCTTATACCATCACTGTTATACTTACCTAAGCTATCAATCTTTCTTGTTCTAATTGAGGAGAGTTGGTCTCATTTGAACTTCGGCTAAAATCTAAAAAGAATATAATTTCAGTGATTGCAATATTAACAAACCATCTCTCATGTCAACTATTGATAGGTAATGTTTAAAAAGAAAAGGC